TGCATCCATGCATCAAGGCTGCAACGGCTAGTAACGGCTAGTTTATTTGAATTTAATGAAGGGGTATCGATGCACCTTGATCATGCATCGATGCATCATGTTATGGGCAGCCTTTTTGAGTAGAAAAATCATCCCCAAACGACTCCAAAACATCCCCAACGGCTATATACAACATCAAACACATTCCAAGCTATAAATACAAGCTGAGGACACTTGAAGAAGTAAGAGAACAACTATCCAAGCAATCAAACACAAGAGAAGAGTTTTTCATTCTTATTTCATCTTTCTCTTGTAAATATTTTGTACTTGTGAGCTCAATCTTGAAAATAACTACCTTAGAGAGGTTTTCTTGTTTACTTATTTTATCCTTTTGTAAAGGGGAAAGGTTCTAGCTTAGCCCGTGTAAAATCTAGGGAAAGGTTCTAGTTTAACCCGTGAAAAACTAGGGAGTTGTAAGGTTATCTCTTTGTCCTCAAAAGAAAGAACAAATTAGTGAATTTGTTGGAAAATCCTTAGTGAGGAGCTAAGGTAGTGGATGTAGACTTTGGTTGAGAAAGTCGAACCACTATAAATCGTTGTGCAATTCTTTATCTTTCAATCTCCTTACTCCCTAAACAAAAACCGTTCCGACCCCTCTTTGCAAATCGTTTCGGTTGTCGATTCGAGCATCCGAAAATCCCAACAGACGTCACAAATGATGAAGATGCTGAAGTAACCAACCTTTGTCTTATTGTCATCCAAGAAGATTCAAAGGTATCTTCTAACTCAAATGAATAAAATTCATACTCTTTTGATAAGTTACAAGATTCTTATTATGAATTAATTTTAGAATTTGAGGCCATGAATTCCAAATATAATAAAATAATTCTAAGTTTAAAATAAAAAATGATTATATTTTAAAAGCAAAATTGGATTTTAAAAATTAAAATGAAACTTTGAAAAAGCATTTAGATTTTCCAAAGATTAAAATTGTACAATTTGAAAAAAGGAAATCTTGATTTGAAAAACAAGCTTGAAATTTTAAGAAAATAAAAAGAAATTATTTCTTAGGATTCATCAAAAGTCAATAATGGAAAAATATTCACATTGGTATTGCCATGGTCGTACATCACATACTTGTCCTATAAAGATTAAAATTATAAAATTAGATAAGTTTGAGTTCCTAAGGGAACCAGAGACATTGAAGCTAACATTCAAGGATCCAAATCAATTTGGGTACAAAAAATCAAGTAAATATCTCTTTTAGGTGTGTTGGAGAAATGGTGATCAATGACAAACAATTGGGATGCTTTAGACACACTAAGGAATGGCACTTGAAGAAAGGATAATTTAACAAATCAACCTAATTCAAGTGATAACACATTTTTAATTTCATGTAATTTTATGTCAATTGCATGCCTTTATATGTTTATATGCATGATTGAGTGTCCCCATGTAGTGCTTATTTGCAATTAGTCAAGAGGAGTTATTATTGCATGAGTTGCATTTTTAGGGCCTAATATGCTTATGTTGATGATTTTGGCCTTAAATTTGTAATATTTGATAATTATTAAAAAATAATGTTCTTCATAATTTATATTGATCATATGTAGTGATTTTGAGAATATTATGTTTAAATGAAGCAAAATTGAAAATATGCATGTTTAGGATCTTTAGAGCCATTGTATCTTTGTGTAAACTGATTTGGACTTTACCTGTGCAAATTATGAACTAAATTGATGAATAATAAAATTGGCATAATTTGATGTTTCAAGTTGACATTAATGCACATTTAGTATCATATAAATCATTAAAATTATTTTTTTTTATCAATAATATGACTTAGATTGCATCAAATTCGAGTCAAGTGTCATCCAATTTGGTCCTTAGAGTATAACTGAAAAATTATAGAAAAAATATTGATCCCTTTAAATAAAGGATTGGTCTCTTGTATTTTCCAGAAAAAATGATCGATCCCTTTGCAAAAAAGGATCGATCTCTTTTCTAAGGATCAATCCCTTTTTGTGATGGATCGATCCCTTTAAGTCGAATTTACAGGGAAAAAGGTATTTAAAGTCTACTTGAGCGCATATCTTATCCCACAAGGCCATATTTCGAACCAAACTTTCCCAAAACACCTAAAACTTCAAATTTCAATGACTCCTTTAATTTGAATTCGTTTATCAAGGGGCTATTGTGCGAAATTCATCCTTTAAACATTCTTTCTTTCTAGACTTTGAGGAGAGGGTGTTTCAGTATATCGGATCTCTCGAGCCCATGTTGATTATCACTTTGATGCGATTGAGCGTCGTCAGGATGCTCTTGGTGAAGAGGTTCGGGTGATCCAACATCATCTTGACGGATTTGCTTTCCTTTTTTCATCACCATCTTAGTTCATGCATGCATTTTTATTATCGTATTTTTAAGACTTTACTATATTTGACTTTGGATGATTGATATGATGAACCTATATTTATTTGGATATTATTTAAATTTTGGATGGTTTTTATGTTGGATATTTGAACTTATATGGATGCTTATGCTTTTGGTACTTTACCCTATATGGATGTTATTTAAAAAAAATACTATGATTCATGATATTTACCTTAATATGATTATTCTTCATTCTATTTTTATTTTTGTTTACTTTATCTCGTTTGTTATATGATACTAACATTGTTAAGGTAGGGGATGTAGACTCTGATTGATAAAGTCGAACCACTCTAAATTGTTGTGAAAATCTTTCTTTTTTTCAATTGCTTCTACAAAAATTTTAAAAGGACAATTCACCCCATCTTGATATTTTTTGGTTGTTCGTAAGAACTAACATAATGTCAATTAAAATCTAATGTCAATGGACTATAATGGTATCTCTTGTTGATATACTATAAATTTGATTATATTTTTCTAATTTATAAATGAAAGTTAATAAATCTTGTATTTTTATTTATAAAAAAAGTAATCTTTTATCCCATTTATGGAGTTATGCATAATGCCAAATATTTTGGGTTAGTAATTTTGGGCTAATCCGAGAGGATTTTGGATAAATCCAATAACATCATTGTAGGAAGTCTTGGTCCAAGTATGAATTGAATTGGACTTAGATTGAGCTTAATTAGAAATAAAAATGATGTTTATGAATTGGAATTAATTGAAGAATGACTAAAGTTGTAATTTACCCCTAAAGTGTTTTAAAGGTTGAATCCCATTTATGAAACAAGTTGTAAATGGGCAAAGCATCTCATTTCCTCACCATCTCTCGTCTTCTTTCCTATTTCAAAAGCTCATCTCCTCCTATTCTCTATCTTGCGCAAAGGTGATAGCTTGGTTAATCAAGATTTCCTTATTAAATCAAATGAGAAAAATAGTGTAATCCTCTTTCTTAGAGCCTCATTTTGAACTCTCATCTTTTTGATTTGGCTATGGAGCCATGGATGGAGGTTTAAGAAGGGTTTAGGTTTGTGGGCAAAAATCAGTTCGTTTGAGTTAGATTTCGTTCTTGTAGAGCCTCCTTAACTCATTTTAAGTTTTTAGTTTAGCATGTGATTCATTGTTTTGCTTGTGGTAATGAGAGATGCGGGGGAAAGCTCTAAGGTCAAGGGAAAGAAAAAACTAGTTCTTTGATGAGTTTAGGGTTGATTCTCCAACAACTAGTAGTAAGATAACACACTTTTAACACTTCTATAACTCTTGTAGATAAACATATGTAGTGTGGTTGCTTATTAGTATTTATGAAGCATTTTAGTGCATTTGGGTTCATAAGATGAAATAGAATATTTGATATTGTCCATGCATAAAGAAATGATCTTTTATGAACATTTAACCCTACATAAGCTTTAAACAATGTTTGGGAACCTTGGGAGGGTCTTAGGAGTGACTTGAAGAATTTCTCTCGTGAAAAATAGGATATTCTAAGTTCAAGGTATCAATACTATAAGAATAGTATCAATATTGCTAGTATAATAAGCAAAGATCAAGATCTTTGTGAGGTAGTATCAGCACTTAAAATGCTAGTTGAATGTTGTATTGATGTTATGTGATCTAGACACATTTTGAGTACTCTAGAGGAGTGGACTAGCCGATGAGGTGTCGATGCTACGTGGCACGAACCTAGCCTATGGTAGATCTTACCCAATGTACCTCCAGAAAACAAATAGGGGTGTGAGTTCCGTGATGCTATTGTGACCCCGAGCTACACCATGATGCTTGGTTATGTTGTGTGTTTAATATACTTCCTTCTTCATGACTGTATTTCCTAGCATGCTCATTTATTGAATGTTTGTAGTATGGTAGTGTTATTTGTGTAGCATTTAGCTTGTGAGTTCAACGTTCGAAATGTGTTTCCGTGCGTAGGTTCTTATGTGCTAATTCGAGGAGCTCATAATCAGATTGTAGGTTTCTAGACTTGGTCGATTATCAGAGTACATTTCGAGTATTTTTAGTGGGCATGTACTGTTATAGATCCTTATGTATTTGAGTCGTAAGCTCTACTTTTCTGACTATGTATTTTGGGATGTATCTATAGAGTTCCCCACATTTTGTAAACTTATGGTATTTTGATTTTATTATGTTTTAAATTATGGTTTACATTTTATGGATGTGACGAATGTTTTTAAAAAAAATGGTTAATCACTTTATCAATTCCGTGTAATATTGTAATCTTCCGGATTTTCAGGTCAGGACGAAATAGGGTGTTACATTATGGATCTATTTAAAAAAAGAAAAATTGTATCAAAGGCTACTCAATTATGAATAAGTCTACAATTTGACTACAACACTTTAAAAGTGTACAATTTGGTTATTTTATTTTATCAAAGTTGGTGCAAAATCAGTTCCTCTTTATCTTAAGAAACAAAGGTCATTCAATGCTTGTATACTTTACGTCCCAATCTCAAATCAAAATAATTCATATTTGAATAATTTAGATCCGATCATTTTCAAATTCTAGTTCGACAATTTCAGATAGTTTTTGTTACTTTTGAGTTAATAATTATATCGGATTTTAGGTTAACAAATCTCACTAACAAAAATTTAAAGATGATGCAACACATTTCACTGAAAACCAACTTCAAAGTTTTAGTGGATACAAAATATCATACAAAAAAAATAAAACTAAAACTGCCGTATGAGCAGCAACAACACCATTGCTCCCATGTCCGGTGCCATAACACAAGTCACGTCCCTGAGAGTCTTTTAATACCCTTTCTTCTATGATCATCTGTAGCATGCAAAAACCGGACTATCAAAACCAAATTCAGTCTATCGGAACCGGTCATTTGTGGTAGGCAAAGATTGGTCTATCGAAACCGGCTTTAGTGCCTGATAACTCTGAAGTTAGATCCACGACTCTTCTGAATCCTATCTGCGATTCAGATACACAATTCTCGAATCAATAATTGACCGTACCATCTGATCTGATCTGTAACCTCAGCCTCAGGCATCATAAATGACAAAATATATACCTTGTCCAGAAGAATTTCCCGAAAGGAATCCGGTCTGTACTCAATATCATGATAATTGCTAGATGTTGTCTGCAATATATGGTAGGAAGTGCCACAAGTATTGAAGTTCCCTCGATAATTGTTTGCATTTACTAAAAAAGAATAGAACTATACCTCAGAGACTTTGCGGTTCTTTTCATATGAATTCCAAGGTTGAGGTTCCAAGACGAAGATGCCACCCTGCTCGTGTTCATATCACATGCAGTTCAGATGACTAAAATTAAATGAATTCTTCTACGGATGACAAGAAAATCGATACTCATTAATAAAAAAGAATTTGGCCCGAAAAAGGTGAATATGAAATTACCGGACGTAGAAGTCTCCAAATCTTTGAGAATGCTGTAATCAAGCCATCATCACCCCAGTTCAGGTGAATCCACTTCGTCACACTTAAACTGAATTGCAAAAGTATCCAATTGAAACAGAATGATATATTAGTAAAACGGACCACACTTTACGGATTAACCGAAGCCAAGAGCCACATATATACAACAAGAGAAGCCTTACCAAAGAACTGTATCATAATGTTTATCAGGCAGCCGACTCCGCACGAAATTTTCTTGTTGAAAAGAGACTATATCTGATAGATTTCTTTCACCAGAAGAATTATGACTTGAGCCATTGTCTTCACCTTCATCTGAAGATTTAGTAGCACACTCCTCTGACCCATTTACATCTTGTAAAACCTTTACATTGGAATCATATGTACTTTTCTTCTCAGCAGATTCCATTTTCACAAATTTTTTAAGGTGCCAAAATGCTTCTTTGATTAGACCTAAGAATCACAAAAATGAAATTTGCTTTAATCTTCCCTCGGTTTCAGCCTAGCAACAGAAACTTCAACACTGGAAGCAACATATGCAGAACTGTGTTTAAAAAAGCGCCGCTTAAGCGCGATTAAAGCGCTAAGCGACTCGAGCGCGCGAGGCCCCTGGCGCTTCAACATAGCAAAAGCACTACGAATTCATTAAGCGGTAGTAATCGGCGCTTTTTCTGCGCTTTTAGCAAAGCCCTAATCGGCGCTTAATCGCGAGTTTAGAAGATACAATTCTGGGCTTTAGCAGATACGATTTTTGGGCTTGTTTAGGGTTTAGCGGGCTATTAGATTATCAGGCTTAGATCGGCTTTTAGTTTAGGCAGGCTAGGGTGAAAATGCGATTGAAATAGGCAGTAATCGAAGAATTTACAGAGAACGATTGAGGTTGAGCGGTAAAAAATTCACAAAGATCGATCATCTTCCACGCCTGTCACCTCACGCTCACGACTCCTGACTCACGACTCAAGTTTTGATCATCATCTTCCTCTCATCTCACGAGTCACGCTGCTGCTGCACTTCATCAACCGGTACGTAATTCTGTTGTTTATATACTTATAGTTTATTGCAAAATTGTGTTTTATAGTTTATAGAATATTGTTCTTCTTTATAGCTTATTGCTTTTTTTCTTCCTTTCGACGGATTGGGCATTGGAAGGAAGGTTAATTATAGAAAGTGATTGCAAGTCAGTGGTGGATTGGATTTTGTTGCCGACTTCATCTCCTCGTTTTCTTAGTTCGTTGGTTCAAAAAATTGCTTCCATAATCTTGGAGAGGGAAATCATTATTAGACATATCCCGAGGAGTTGCAATTGTGAGGCTGATTCTCTAGCTAAACAGGGGATTGGATGAATATTATTAAGTGTCATAGAGGTTTTCTAGCAGGTTCTTGGTCTATTAAGGCTGAAGGGGCTGGGAAAGTTTTGTTATTGTTTAAGGAAGGTTTGGTCGGTTAGGTAGTTTTGTTTAAATATTATGTAATTTTTATGGCTTTGTCAGTGTGTCTTGGTTGTATTTTATGTAATGAGTCCCTGATCAATAAAATCCTAAGGCACTCTTTTCCTCCCTCCAATGATTAAGGAACTTTCCCAAGAATTCCTTTAATCAAGAAGGGGGTTTTTAATGAGGCCTGTAATTTCTATAAAAAAAAATAGCTTATTGCTTTCTCCTTCATTAAGTACTTAGTATTGCTGAATTTTACATGTAGACAAGCAAAATGCTTGTTAAACTGGTAAAATTTCACTGACTCTGACTTTATAGTTTGACTTTATAAAATGTTTTATCGTTCTTTATAGTTTGACTTTATTGCTTTCTGTTTTATAGTTTGATTTTAAAAAAGTTCACTGACTTTATAAGGTCAAACTGGTATTACTTTCTATTTTATGTTTTATATGGTCAAACTGAATATCATGTATTCATGTTTAATTCAGTTTTAGTTGTTACTGGTATTGTTTTCTGTTTTTTAGTTGTTACATATATACTGATATAGTTTTTTAGACAAGCAAAATGCTTGTTGAATTTTAAATGTTTGTATTATGGTATAGATTGACTTTATAAGGTCAAAGTGTCAAACTGATTAACTTTCAACTTGGTAGAATAAATTTTCACATCCTTTCTGTTTTATGTTTTTCAAAATGGTATATAAATATATAATTCATCTTTTTTTTAGTTGTTACTGCCTTACTGGTATAGTTTGTAACTTTGTATACTGGTATTGCTTTCTGTTATTTTAGTTTGACTTTATGTTTAATTTATCTTTTATAGAATGACTTCAACGGCGGGTAACGCGGGTTCTTCAAAGAACGGGTAAGAAGACTCGGTTAGGAAATATGCAATACAAGATCCGAATAATAAAATCAGCTTTACATGCTCTTTTTGTGGACAAACATGTAAGGGAGGTGTGTTTTGGATCAAACTGCATATGATTGGTGGTTTTAAGGATGCTCGTAAATGTCCAAACTGTCCGGAGCATGTGCAGGAAGAATTAAATGCGTTCATGATGAAGAAACAAACGTCAAAGGCAGAACAACATATGCAAGCAAAAAACTGGATGCACCAACAACAACCTGATGAATACGATGGTGAAGAAGATGTTGTTGAAATAGGCAGTCGTAGTAGCAAGATGCCCCCACCCAAAAAACCAAGGCAAAAAGGTCCTATGGACATGTACTTCATTCCTAATCCTCGAGAAGCAATCAAAGCTAGGAAGGAAGGGAGACAACAAACCATCAATGAAACGTGTCGATAGGACCTTAGGGATAAAGTTTGTCATGAGATTGGGAGGTGGTTTTATGATGCAGGTATTATAAATAATTAAATATTTAATGTTTTTTGAGTTTTAAGTTGCTGTAAGTCTTTTTTTTTTGTTTATGCTGATGGAAATATTTTTTTTTATGTAGGCATTCCTTTTAATGCCGCAACATATGAGAGTTTTCAAATAATGATCGAAGCAATCAGACAGTTTGGCCCCGGGATGAAAGCACCAAGTATGTACGAGTTAAGAGTTCTCATACTTAACAAGGAATTAGAGGAAGTTCAAAACCAAATTGTGGAAAATAGAAAGAATGGGCAGAAAAAGGTTGTTCAATACTATCGGATGGATGGCGTGATTCCGTTGTTCAAAAAGATATCATCAACTTCATGGTAAACTCCCCAAAGGGTTCGATCTTCGTGAAGTCACTTGATGTATCTGATGTTTCAAAGGATGCTGATTTGTTGTTTTATGTTCTTGATAAAATGGTGGAGGAGGTTGGTGAAGAGAATGTGGTGTAGGTGGTGATTGATAATGCATCAGCTTATGTGAAGGCAGGTAAGAGTTGAGTTGCAACTTTAGTCTTTTGATAATCTCTTGTCTAATGTCATCTACTCATCTTATTCCTCTAACTTTGTAGGGAAGTTGTTGGAAGCTAAAAGACCACATCTCTATTGGACACCATGTGTTGCACATTGCCTAGACTTGATGTTGGAGGATATTGGCAAACACATTCCTAGGGTTAAAAATGCTTTAAAAAAGGCCATTTACTCAAATGGATATATATATAGTCATGTTGGTTTGGTGAACTTGATGAGAAAGTTCACAAACCAAAGAAACTTGCATAGGCCGGCCATCACAAGATTTGCTACTTCCTTCATCACTCTTGCCCAAATCCACAAACAAAAAACAATTTGAGGAAGATGGTGACTTCTCAAGAGTGGGAAGCGAGCAAGTGGTCTAAAGAACCCACGGGTAAGAAAATAAAGTCTTACATTTTGCAAGAAACGTTTTGGAGGAATGTACTTTATTCTCTCAAGTTGACGGGCCCCTTAGTGAAAGTTCTTAGACTAGTTGATGGAGAAAAAAATCCAGCCAAGGGGTACATCTATGAGGCAATGGATAGAGCTAAGAAGGCGATTCGTGATAGTTTTCCGAATCGAGAGGATGATTACAAGAAAGCTTTTGAAATTATAGATCATAGGTGGGAATGTCAACTACATAAACCTTTGCATGTTGCGGGACATTTCTTGAACCCGAGAATCTTTTATGATGAAGTTGGTGGTGTGCTTTGTGAAGAAGTTGAAAACGGTTTTTATGATGCATGTTGAGGCTTGTTCGCGGCCAAGAAACTCAAGACAAGATTTCAGACGAGTTAGTTAAATACCGAAAGGCAGAATGTCTCTTTGGTATTAGCTTGGCTGTTAGGCAAAGGAAAACAAAATCACCAGGTAAAAAAATGCTACTTTATATTTTAAGTTATATTAATTATTCTCTCAAATATAGTTTATGCTTCATGTTCATTTTACATTTTTTATAGCTGATTGGTGGACAATGTATGAATCTTCGGCTCCTAACTTGAAAAAGTTTGCTATACGGATTCTTAGGTGGTGTTTGTTTTTGCAGAGGTAAAAGGTTTGCAGTCTGCGAACCACATCTGCAACAGAAAAGGTGGACCAAAAGTCTGCAGTCTGCAAGAAGAAGACTGTTTGTTTTTTAACGTCCGCAGACTGCTAAAATAAACTGAAATATAAATAAAATGATTTTTTAAACTTAAAAGAGTTTTGCAATACTGAGATTTAAATAATTTTAGTTTTACAATACTGAAATTTAAATAATTCATACAACTACAATAATAAATTTTTTAGAAAAACAAACATCACCTTATTAATTCTATTATAAGTCTCACATAATCACATGTATTATTAGTTTTATAAGTTTTATAGAATAAAATTTATAAATGATTATTAAATTATATGATTTTTTTAAATATGCAATTATGTAATACTTTTCATTTTTTTAAATATATTCATAATTTATTTTTATAATTATATGATATTTTTAGAAAAAAAATTTAATTTATCAAATTATTTTATGATTATTTTTTATTTAATTGTGATTATATTTTAAAATTTTAAAAACATAATTTATAATTTTTTTATATTTTAAAATCTTAATTATCAAACAATGAAATCATTTTTTATTAAGCAATGTGGTTTAAATACTTACATTTTGTATAAAAAATTTAAATATAATTTAAAAATAACAAATCCAAAAAAATATTATATTTAAGCTTAAATAAAAATAATTAAAATAAATATAAAATTTTAATAATTAAAATTAAATATCTATAATATAATATTAAAAAATTAATATTTAATTTATTTAAAAAAATTAATATCTATAATTTTATATTAAAAATTAATATTTAATTTATTTAAAAAATTAATATTAAAATTAAAATCAAATATAATATAATATAAAATTAAATATAAAACCTCTTTGAAGAAGTTAGAAGACGTCTGCAGACATAAGACCACGTAGTCACGCGCAGACGTTAGAAGAGTTTCTGTCTTCTAAAAAACAAACGGTCTGCGAAGCCCAATGTCTGCGCGGCGCAGACATAAGAGCTTTGCAGACCTTACACAGTAAAAACAAACACCACCTTAGTCTCACTTGTAGTGCTACAAGTTGTGAGAGAAACTGGAGTGTTTTTCAACAAGCAAGTTATTTTTACATGTTTTTTCTTAATAATATTGCTGGAAATTATATATATATATATATACATAATGTTGCTAACATCCAGTTTTGGTTTTTTTCTTGTAGCTTCACACTAAGAAACGAAATAGATTGGCACAATCTAGATTGAATGACATGGTGTTTGTGAAATTCAATCGTGCCTTGGAGCGTCGAGGTAAGGAGACTGGTCCCATTCTTTTGCAAGATATTGATGAGAGCAATGAGTGGTTCATGGGAAGAATGGAAGATGATGATTAGGCAGTGTTTATTGGTGAGGATTTGACATGGAGTGATGTTGCTAACGCTTCCGGTCCATATAAGCCTAGTTATCTAACTAGAGCATCAAAAGTAGTGAATAATGGAGCCGGACCATCGCGAAAAGATAAAGGAAAATCTCCTGCTCATAATCATATCTCTAGTAGACCATCTCGTAGATGCTTAGTTGATGAAGATGAGATGGAAGAAGATATTGGAGTGTCTAGTGATGAAGGAGATGGTGTTGTCCAAGTTGATGACGATGACGATTTAGAGGATTTTTAGTTATAAGGAATTGAGGGTTTAGAAAAATACTTTTGTTCATCTCACTTTAAACTACTTTTGGTGTAGACCATCTTTTGAGATTAATAAGCTCGTATAGTCGTATGGTTAATGGTATATAAGTATTTAAGTGTTTATAACTTATAAGTAAAATGAGAATTATATTTTGGTGTTTAAGTACTTATAAGTTTTGAATATATACATTGACACTTTGATATTTAAGTATTTATAAGATAATTTATAAATATTTTGTATTTTTTTGTGAATTTCGGCCTTTCTGGCTCTTCGTGTGCATAAAGCGATCGCTTTCGCTTAGCGCTTCGGCGTCTAGGACCCTAGGCGCTTTACGCTTTGTAAAACCAAGATGCAGAACCAAGGCTTATCCAACAAAAGTGATTAACTACAATATAAACATAAGTTAGAATACCTATGTTCTCAATATATCAGGGTTGCTGTTAGAATCTTACCAGAATCGATGTCGATTCCGAGGATGCTCTCGCAATTGTACTTCTTTGCTGCATAAATACGAAAGGTAAAAAAATACCAATGTTAACAAATACAACCCAAATACCTCGAATCATCATCACATTTTTTATGCCAAAATCTTAAGCTAGAAGGGACACTAAACAGTATAATCCCTGCACCTGTTAAAGCTTCGTGCAGTTAAAGCTAAGGTAATGTATATTCTGGATGTCATTGCATTGAAGAGCGACCACTGAAGAACAATGCACACTCAAAGTTTTGTCCCTTCACTTTGAAGAGAGCCCAAGGCATCTCTTGATGCTTGAACAGGCAAACCAATGGCCACTAAAAAACTAGCTTGGTATAAATCTTTCACCCATGACCACTATGTTCCTCGGGATCATTGGTTCAAGTAATTTTTCAGCGACCATGGCACCAAGCGCTCTCACTCATAGTTTTCCCTGTTCAAGCATTAAGAGACACATCCTGAGCCGAAGGACAACCTTGAGTGCATCCGAGGACAAGAGCTTCACATTATCAACACCATACTCTGACAGCACCCTAATGGCCTAACATTATACTTAACTAGTGCTGAGACGCTACACATGAAGGGTAGTGTGGCAGCGGGGACTTATTGTAGAATCGGAGAACCTTAGTTCCCGTCAAGCACCACAGTTACTTGATTCTACAACCAAGTCCCCGCTATCACACCATCCCACCCTCTCCTGCTAGTGGGTAGAGAGACAATCCCGATCATTCAACAGCAGTACAGACCGCAAAACGGGGAGATCACTCAACACTTCATAACACATAAAACCAATTTAGTAAAAGAAGTACCAATTTGGATTGTAATAATGCCACTGTTACAACCGATATCCAAGCAATCCTTCCCTTCAAACCACTCTTTCTTCAACACCCTAATGCGAGGATCTTCTTCTCTTTCAGCATCTCGTCCAATCTAATCATGCATATAAAAAAAATTAAAACCCCATTTTCTTCATGAAATATAAAACAAAACAAGTAAATATAAAAAGGGTTTTTTTATTACTCTGTAACCATAATAGTGCTGGTAATTCCCGTAAGGGAAAACTTTCTTGAATTTCTTGTTGGGGTTACTCTTTGTTTGAGTTTCAACGCTGCGTTTCGTCGCTTCTCTATCGTTCCCGTTTCTTCCTTCTTTCTCAGCCTCACCGTCTTGTTGTTTTCGCTTCTGCTTTCGGGTATCGCGCTTCTTTTCGTTGATTTCCGCCATAACTTCGTGAGGAAGAAAAGCAAGTGATGATGAAGAAGAAGCAGAGCGAGGGCGCTTTCTATTACTAGCTTCTTATGCTTTATTGAAAGGGTTTTAGAGATGAGTTAATCGGGTTTTGAAGAGAGGATCTTAAGCGCTGTAAAAATTTATAGGTTATAATTTGGGTAAACTACAAAAGTGGTCCCTTCTAGTTTTTGATCTGTCTTATTTTAGTCATAGATTTTGAAAAGGTTATGTTTATGTACCTTTTATTTTAAATCTGTCTTATTTTTATCATCGTTAACTCTCATTAGTTTGATTACGTGATATGTTGGTAAAAATGATTAAAATTTATGAGCTTATTGAGTGACTTCAGTAGTAGTTAAAGGGAGTATTATTCTCTTTTGAGGTATCGAGTTCAAGCAATTACATCTGTAAGGTGTATATACATTATGTATGCGATGCCAATGATTAATAAAAATTATGAACATACACTTATCTTGTATTTACATAAAACTAATAAAAAAAAATTAAAGTTTAATTTGACCTAAATATTAGATAAAAAATCATATTTGATCTTGGATTTTATCCTCTTTAAATGTGTAATTTTATTTAATAAATTAAATATAAATTAAAGTTATATAATATATTTAAAATTATTTTTTTAATTAAATATTTTTTAGAATAAAATATTAGTGGGATAACAAATAAATCAAGAAATTGATAGGAAGAAAGAATATATAAAGTATTGTAGACTAAATTATAAAATAAAAGATTAATTTAAAAAGAAGAAATTTATTGTCTAAAAAATATCATAAATAACATAATATTATAAAAACGAGTATCTTTTAAATTAAATGGAGTTTTATTCTGCCATTATTAACTTGTACTAAGGATTAATAGTATTAAATTTTGCAAGTTGCAGGTGCTGGGGGGGGGGGGCAGGACCCTAATAACTAAGGAAAATATTTGATCTTTTGGATATTTGATTTCATTTTACACTATTCTGATGTATAATTAAATTTGCTCTCTTTTCATTTTCATTTACGTTTTCTTCTCGCTCTTCCCTCAGTCAAACCCGCACACAAATTTTCCTACCGACAAAACTCCGAGGATCTAGAGGTTTGCTGTTTTTTTGTCCTAAATTTCGTGTCTTCTTTTTGTAGCTAACCTATCGATGCTTATGTTTTCAAGTAAGCTAAATCAAATCGATTGTGCAAAACACATTTAGGATTTGATATGTTGATGCTCATTTTGGTTATGGAGTTAGTTGCTGTTACCCATTTATTGTTTCAGTCGTTTTTGCTTCCATATGGGAATGCTCTTAGGTCCTTGTTGCCTGGTCATGAGGATTCAATAGAGGGTTATGGGAATGCTATAATTGGAGTAAAATCGACTGTGAAATCGGCGGTGGTCTGTAATCCTCTCACCATAAATGAATCTGATAGAGTACTAGGGATGTTGTTGTGTTTAATAATGTGGTGCTGAAGGATGGTAATAGTTTGAATTCCAATGTCGGTGTTGGTGTTGGGAATGGTGGTCGTATAATGGAGGATCACAGGGAAATCGAGAATGGTTTTGCATCAGAGGGTACGGATAGAATTGGTGTCGATGATGATGATGATGATGATGATGATGATGATGATGATGAATCTGATAATGGTGAAGATCGAAATGAGATTGATGTGTTGGAGGATGTCATTCGGGATCAAGGTGATTATGCAAGTACTACATTGAAAACGGAGTAGACACGTAGAGCTAGAAATGGTTTTGAGATAGAGCAGGTTGCGAAACATGGTCAAGAAGTGTCAACCGGAAAACTTAGGAGTATAAGATGATTGAGGTGGCTAAAGAACTTGGGGTTGTAAGTACGTCTTCATAGTTTTCTGCATTGCCTCTCCTGTAGTGTCTTCAATGGTGAACCAGACATCAAAATCGGTGATTGGTAAACCAGGAAAGAAAAAGATGAGATGTGAAACGCCACCAAAATCCGTGACTGCAATAGATGAGATGGACCGCATATTACTACGACACCTTAGCTCATCGCGTGTGGAGGTAATCTATACTTTTCGTGAATGGTTAAATATTATGCTTGCTGTATATATTGAATGTAAAAAGGAAAAGAAAACTATTGTGTGATTGCAGAGACCTCGTCATTCTTCTGTTGACGTAGAAATCTTTGCTGCAAGACTGCAGATCAGAAATGCTCCCATCATAGTGAACGATCAAGATCTTTACGCTCCTCTTTTTCGGAATGTTTCATCTTTTAAAAGGTAAGTTTACTTTAAGCCTAGCTCTGGATGATGATCACTATTTATAGATGTGCACTAAACTTGTTCTTTCTTATTACGACATTGCTTGGAATTTCAGCATCTATTATTGATATATCAGCCTACGATTTTCATTTTGTCTGTAATGAAAGATAGTAAATTGGAGTAATATCCGATTTCCATCTCGGATGAATAAAACCACCAGTGTCTTTTATGTTTTCGAGGTAAGATCAAAGATTTTTGCTCACAAACTGTCTTAAAAAACCCTTCTGCCTTTATAGAAAGCTTGAAGGCCGGACAGATAAATAGCTAAACCAAAAGGTATCAGTATTGGGACTTCCAATTTACTATTGTTGTTAAACTGTGGACCTAATTGTCTCACTGGTTCCGTATTTGTCTCTATATGTACTGCTTGGCGGACTTTGAGAAAACTGTTTTGATATCGAATGATGCTTTGGCACGTTGCAGGAGTTATTAACTTATGGAGCGCACACTCAGAGTTTACGTCTATAAAGATGGGAACAAACCCATCTTTCATCTACCGATACTTAAGGGATTATATGCCTCGGAGGGATGGTTTATGAAATTGATGCAAGGGAATAAGCGTTTCGTTGTGAAGGACCCTCGAAGGGCGCATCTGTTTTATATGCCTTTTAGTTCTCAAAAGCTGGAGTACACCCTTTATGTACGGAATTCACATAACCGGACTAACCTACGCCAGTTTATGAAGGATTACACAGAAACTATTGCAGCGAAGTATCCGTACTTTAACCGAACTGGTGGAGCAGATCATTTCCTCGTTGCTTGCCACGACTGAGTATGTTTTTCATTTCAAGCGTCATCTTAGTTTCTCGGTTTCATCCTATAATTTCCATGGAGCATATTGTTTTGATTGAAATATGATAACTGAATTTTTAGACTCCTGTAGACACTCGTTTTGTCCAGGTTTTTAAAAAAAAATCAGGCGAACATTCTAGCGCCTTCAAGCTTCAAGAAGCCGTCATCGTCATCACCTACATCACCAGCAGCCGAAAATCAAACCCAAAGTCGACAAAATCAAGCCAACAATAAAAAATCAAAGTCAAAAATAAATCCCGAAAGATATGGGATTTCACCATGCAACCATTATAAAAAGACCATTCGACCGAAAGAAAAAAAGGAGCCAAAACAAAAAAAAAAGAGAAGAGAGAACTTACCCTCGTCGGAGGCTTCAAACATCGTCGGAGAAGACGAAACATCGAAGGTAAAATTTAGATCTACGTCGATTTAGGAGTTTTTAGAAAGAAAGGTTGTCGGATTCGGCTTTAGGGTGGTGAGAGCTTCGATTTGATGTATTTTTGTATTTTCCAGTCACCGTGAATAGTGACTAATGGTGGTGAATAGTGATCGGCGGTGGTCAGAAGAGTGACCGGCCTTGGTTAGAATAGTGATCGGTCGTTGATCGATTTCCCTCCGGTGAGGGAGTTAAAGAGAAGTCAGAGCTTCTCTCTCTTAAAGAAACAAAAATAAAAACTGAGAGAAGAAGGAGGCATTTAGACATGTTATGGGATATAAATATCCTCCCAAAACTACATCGTTTTGATAAAAGACCTTTGTGTCATTTCGAAAATGGTCAAACCTCGTCCGCATTTCCTGTAATTTGTAATTTTTACATCTTAGTCACCAAATTTAATTTTCAGCATTTTAATTTAGATTTTGAATTTTATTATGGTTACATTTTAGTCCCTAATTTATGTTTTATTCGAATATGGCCTAGGAATTTATGCATGTTTTATTTTGTTCACTAGTGTAAATTATTTTTTATTTTATTTTTTATTTCTTTTAGAAATTAATATTTTCTTATTTTTCTTAATTTTTATTTATTTCTCTTGTGACATCTTTTTCACATTATTATTATTTTTATCTTAAAAAATTATTTTAATTTAATCTTCTAAAATTTTTCTTTTTGTTTAACATTCAATATTTTATTTTACCATCTAATATTTTGTTTGATTTTTTCAGTAGTAATTTCAATCGATAAAAGGTAAGTAATTCGAATTGAATTTTTAAATTTTAATTTTCGCAATTAAGACAACCGACAAATTAAATGGTACCGAAAGGGCAGTTCAAGGGTGTTAATTCTGTAACCGACTCCCGAACCTGTTTGAATCGAATCTTTGTAAACATAGATCAATTTTGTCTTAAAAATGATTTTTCTTAAAATTGTTTTTAAAAAAGACAGTTTTAGGTATTCGACCTACTTGACTCAAAGGTCGATGGCGACTCTATTCAAATTAATCCAAAATCACCAATTTTTCCAAATTAAAAGTCGTAACGGTTTTTTTAAAACAATATTTAATTGTTCCACCCGTAAAAATGGTTATGACAGTTTGGTGACTCCACTAGGGATAGTTTGGCGACTTCACTGGGGACAGTTTGGCGATTCCACTGGGGTCAGGTAAGTGAGTTAGGCCATAATTAATTTTCTGTTGTCTTTTTATGCGAAAATAGTAAGTTTTAGTTTATTTATTCGATTCTAATTATTTACATTTGATTATTTTTCAAACAAATAGTTGTACTGACATTTTTTCAATGGTTTTAGATTTTTTGAAAAATTTCTATCTCTGGCTTTATACCCGAGCTCCGAACCCTTTTTAAGTGAGGGTGAAAGCGACGCCTTCGTGAGAATTTATTCTCCGCACAGGCCTAGTAAGTAACCTTCGGGATTCATATACTTTATGTCTTCGTGTGAATTTATTCACCGTATAGGCATAAGGGAATGTATCATCTCGAGTTTAACTTAGTCCACATAAGCTTGTAATGGGCTTAGGGCTAAGGGTCTGATAAGCCCAAGGGGACACCAGCAAGGAGAACTCGGGTATCTTCTTTTTTTAGAACCTAAACCGGGAGACTACAGGGAATTAGAGCCCACCCCCAAAGCATCATTTCAAACCCTAGGTTGTTTTGAGATTATTTCCTGCTTTATTTCATGTTCAAAGCATGTGAACAAGAAATTTTTGCGGTTACGACTTGTTCGAAATCAACTTATGGAATAAATATCATGTCTGGGTAGGAATAATAAGTATGTGGGGTAGATATCATATGGAGTAGGACTTTTATTTTCATGATTGTTTTGGTTATTATCTTTACCTCACTAACTCTTTTCATTTTTTGTTCTCTTTTATTTTCATCATTTGCATCATTTAAAAGAGGTGTTGATCCACAAAAACGTATTCGTTAAACGTAAATAATTTGCATTAATGGACAAAGGGGTTGTAATACAAGAGGTAAAAAATGCAGAGATCCGTCTATGGTCAGAAAAGACTCAGAAGGAAAAGGGAGACACTCTGCAAGGCAATTATCTGTCACGTTCAATCAAGAAAACGTGGTGCCCATAATCGAAAAATATACCACTCTGTTGCATTATGACTCAGAATGGACCAGGATTTACATCAAGCACATCAAAAGTCCACTTTTCGAAAACGGGTTGGCAAAAATTGTAGGGGCAAGACGAGAAAAAGGCTATTGACTTAGAGAGTCCCTTAAAGACAACAAGAGCGGATGGCAAAACGATAGCTGAAATTGGAGGCAATTGTTAACAAATTCAAGAAGCAAGCAAGTAAGGTTCAGATACTTCATTCGATGGAGGGCTCCAATGACATATTCGTCGGGATCATGTTCAACAAAAGATGAAAGCCAGAGATGCATTAGTTCGAAACTTCTTGGAAAAAGTACAAAAAACAGCTCAACACTTGCACGGTTCAGCCAGAGAAGCTGGAGTGGTTCGACAGGGTATTCAACCGGTGACAGACAAAGGCAGGAGACTAGTTAACCTATTAGAATCCGTTCAAGGTCTAGAGGATTTAGTCATAATATACCTTTGATATTTTTGTCTCTTAAAAGATAAAACACTTTTGTCCCAATAAAGATTATTTATGATAACATACATGTTTTCGGATCAATGCTTCGAACATTTCATGCATTTTTGCATCTACATTTCATTTTTAAGCATTTTCATAAACATTAAATTACGTCATGGAGGATTCGATGAAGTGGTCCTAATAACATGACACCACATGGAAACAAGATTGTAACAATTAAAGAAAAAACTGAAATCAATAAAGCGGGAGCCTGATCAACTGATTTTAGGACTAAGTCTGCCATGATGATCTGATAAAAGAGTCCCCATATCCTAAGGGCTACGATGTTGAAGCTGTGTGCAGTTACCACATATGAAGCTCTAGACATTCCTCTAAGAACTGTAAGGCACTGAAGCGCAAGATCCAAAATCTGATGGATTTAGGGGAATGGAAAATCAAAGAAGAGGGCATTGCATCTACCATTTGCACTTAGAGCATTGTTTTGTTTGAACACGTTTTTTCTTTCATGTTTACTTAATCTTTTAAACGACTGAATTTATGTTACCTTCTTAGGTGGAATAATTGAACGAGTTTTAGTCTTTAGTTCTTCTAATATTAAATGAATTAAATATTCTTTTAATTCTTCAAGAATTATAGATTTTTTACATATGGCAAAGATTAAACTCTCTTATCCTGTCTAAAACCCTAAAATAAAATACTTTGATTCTTTACTCAAAAGACTAGATTTGGACATTATCTCCTTTTGAAACTTTTGAACATTGCCTTTATCTTTTCGATACACAAAGAGTCATACTCATACATTTCTTTGAGTCAATAAAGTCAACCCATTGTCTTTTTAGACTCAAAATTGACATTTTTATACCATTAAAACCCAAGGCATTGAGTTGTTCATTTGAACATGAGCATTCTTTTAAGACACAACTTGGGGCATCTCGCAGGGAGCCTGAACATTGAGGCATTTTAGGAGTAAGAAGCAGAAAGAAGAATTCATTCGAAAGACTTCTATTATGCATTAATTACACTGTTTTCATGTGAATAAAATTAATCCTGAAAATCTATCCCCTGGGATACCTCTTTTCGACGACTTCCATGTATGAAATGATGAACGACTTTCTTTCTCTATCCCTTCACGACAGGAGAAAATATATTTCCCTTGTGTCCCCTTTTGAGCCTATAATGTTTTTCTTCTGATTCAACCTTAACCAAGGATCACCCTCCACACTGGGGGCAAGGTAGAAGAAATCTGCTCACATGAGTGAAGACATCAATTCAAGGAGATACCAAAAGGTAAACCAAATGTCAAGTGCGAAGATCCAATCAGAACAAAAAGAAAAAAAGGAAAAAAGAGAGAGAAAAACAAAGAAAAAAAGTAAAGAGAAAATAAAACAAAGGAAAAAGTGAAGAAAAAACAAGACAAGACTCATATGCAAATATTCTTTCGATTTAAATGACGCATTGAGATGAGATTGATCAAGCACAATCATTCCAGAATCACTTCACTCGAAGATCATTGAGCATCTAGAGAAAATCAAGAGAAACATATACGACCAGATTCAAATTGAGCAAGACAGGATTGAAGGCATCAGAATGAATTGATCCTTGGTTCAATACCCTGAAACACTTGTTTGGGCCTATTTACCCTTTTATTTCATAACCATGAACCATGTCCTACATTACGTGCCTTAAAAGTCCATTCTAATCATACATGGATTTATAAACAGAATAGACTATCTTCAGATTTCATCCCACCCATTAGGATTAATCTTTATTTGCAAAAAGTTTTCTAAAATCTTTAATGTATGATAGAGAAAAATAATAAAAGGGGGTTCAAGACGTAAATTTTAAATGACTTCTTGAAACCAAAGGAGGATTCGAGTTGAAAACCTAAAAAGGCAGATCGAATATAAAAATTGTGCACCTGAGACTATCACATAAATTCCTTGATAAGACATCGCACAATCCGAATGTGGCCATGAAAGCTGGGAGTCGGAGAACACTTCCAGTAGGGGAGCATACAAGATACTTCATCAAAACAGTGAGCATCAAAGAAACAAGAATGCCAAACCTTTGACCAAACACATAACCAGAGACTTTTTTTATCCTTTCCTTAATCAACCATTTCCCAAAGATAGCTTTGATCTTGACACTTGTCAAATAGCTATAATTTATTAAAGGATTAACAATATAATTAATTCTTTGATATCCAATGAACTCTAGTTTTATGATTCGTCTCAATTGTAAAATCGAGAAAGGGGCAATATTTTCAAAACTTTTGATTAAACATTTTTTCGAAACTTTTTTAATTGATATTTTCATAACTTTGAAAATAAAAGAGAAATAAAATATTTTTCGAACAAGACAATCTCTCTGGAGTGAATCTTGGTAAATGACATGTGGCTCTCAGACACAAAGCTCATGCTTAAAATTAATGTTGAAGCAAGAAATGAGGAACAATGGGGGCATTCAGATCTTCTTAAGGCATTTCCTCCACATGCAGGAACAAGCAGACAAAAATGAGACTTCATCTATGATTAGTTCATATTGCATGCATCTTAGGCAAACTTAAGATCATCACATTTGTTATTTTTTTCACATACATAATGTTTTGCAGCTTTTAGAATCAAGTTTCGACTCCAAAATAGAAGATACTCGATTCAAAAAAAACCTCAACAAAAAACCTTCGAGTTCGATTACACTCAGCTCAAAGGCACATCATTTGCAACATAACTCAAGGAAAGAAGGGCTATATGCCAACAAAAGACCTTCGAGTTCGATTATACTCAGCTCAAAGGCATATCATTTGCAGCATAGCTCAAGGCAAGAAGGGTTATCTGCCAAAGACCTTCGAGTTCGATTATGCTCAGTTCAAAGGCACATCATTTGCAACATAACTCAAGGCAAGAAAGGCTATCTGCCAAAGATCTTCGAGTTCGATTACGCTCAGCTCAAAGACACATCATTTGCAGCATAGCTCAAGGCAAGAAGGGCTCTGCCAAAGACCTCGAGTTCGATTCCATTCAGCTCAAAGACACATCATTTGCAGCATAGCTCAAGGCAAGAAGGGTTGTCTGCCAAAGACATTCGAGTTCGATTACACTCAGCTCAAAGGCACATCATTTACAGCATAACTCAAGGCTAGAAGGGTTATCTGTCAACAAAGACCTTCAAGTTCGATTACACTCAGCTCAAATGCACATCATTTGCAGCATAGCTCAAGGCAAGAAGGGCTCTGCCAAAGACCTTCGAGTTCGATTACACTCAGCTCAAAGGCACATCATTTGCAGCATAGCTCAAGGCAAGAAGGGCTATCTGCCAACAAAAGACCTTCGAGTTCGATTACACTCATCTCAAATGCATATCATTTGCAACATAGCTCAAGGCAAGAAGGGCTATCTGCCAACAAAAGACCTTTGAGTTCGATTACACTCAGCTCAAAGGCATATCATTTGCAGCATAGCTCAAGGCAAGAAGGGCTATCTGCCAACAAAAGACCTTTGAGTTCGACTACACTCAGCTCAAAGGCACATCATTTGTAGCATAGCTCAAGGCAAGAAGGGTTATCTGCCAAAACCATCGAGTTCGATTCACTCAGCTCAAAGGAACACCATTTACAGCATAACTCAATGTTAGAAGGGTTATCCATCAACAAAGACCTTCGAGTTCGATTACACTCAGCTTAAAGGCACATCATTTGTAGCATAACTCAAGGCAAGAAGGGTTATCTGTCAAAGACCTTCGAGTTTGATTACACTCAGCTCAAAGGCACGTCATTTACAGCATAACTCAAGGCTAGAAGTGTCATCTGTCAACAAAGACCTTCGAGTTCGATTACAATCAGCTCAAAGGCACATCATTTGCAGTATAGCTCAAGAAAAGAAGGTTTATCTGTCAAAGACCTTCGAGTTCAATTACACTCAGCTCAAAGGCACATCATTTTCATTAAAACTCAAGGCGAGAAGGGTTATCTCTCATCAAAGTCATTTCAATTCGATTATATTCAACGCAAAGGCATATTAAATTTATAGCATAACTCAAGGAGAGAGGGGTTATTTGTCATCAAAGACCTTCGAGTTCGATTACATTCAGCTCAGAGGCATATCAAATTTACAACATAGCTCAAGGTGAGAAGGGTTATTTGTCAACAATGAAACCTTCGAGTTCAATTACATTCAGCTCAAGGACATGTCAAATTTACAGCATAACTTAAAGCGAGAAGAGTTATATGTCAGCAAACCTTTGAGTTCGATTATATTCAGCTCATGAACATATCAAATTTACAGAATATCTCAAGGTGAGAATGACTATCTGTCAACAAGAATTTTCAAGTTCAATTTCATTCAGTTCGGAGGCATATCAACCGCATGGTAGCAACGAGGAACTACCTTCCGGAAGAATTTTCAAGCCGATATCTTTAAATTAAGAATAAGACCAAAGACCAATTCCAGAATCGGACAAAAACTGGTTGTTTTTTCGTCTTTGCCCTATTTTTGTTGACACACGAATGTGCAAAGAGGGACAGCTGTAGATACCCGTTTTGTCTGGGGGATTTTAAAAAATCAACCGAACGTTCCAGCGCCGTCAAGCCCTCTGGAAGCCACCATCGTCATCACCTACATCACCAGCAGTCGAAAATCAAACCCAAAGTCGGCAAAATCAAGCCAACAATCAAAAATAAAAAATAAATCCCGAAAGATTTGGGATTTCACCATGCAACCATTATAAAAAGACCATTCGACCGGAAAAAAAGGGGGAGTCGAAAACAAAAAAAATAGGAGAGAACTTGCCGTCGTCGGAGGCTTCAAACATCGCCGGAGAAGTCAAAATATCGAAGGTAAAAATTTAGATCTACGTCGATCTAGGGTTTTTAGAAAGAAAGGTTGTCAGATTCGGCTTTAGGGTGGTGAGAGCTTCGATTTGATGTATTTTTGTATTTTTTGGCCATCGTGAATAGTGATCGTCGGTAGTGAATAGTGATAGACGGTGGTCGGAATAGTGACCGGCGGTGGCGGCTGGTCGTTGACCGATTTTCCTCCGGTGAGGGAGTTAGAGAGAAGTCAGAGCTCTCTCGAAGCAAAAAGGAAAAATGAGAAATGGGGGAGGCATTTAGGCATGTCATGTGATATAAATATCCTCCCCAAAACTATGTCGTTTTGGGGAAAGACCTTTGTGTCATTTCGAAAATAATATCGTCCGCAGTTCCTGAAATTTATAATTTTTACATCTTAGTCACCAAATTTAATTTTCAGCATTTTAATTTGGATTTCAAATTTTATTATGGTTACATTTTAGTCCCTAATTTATGTTTTATTCAAATATGGCCTAGGAATTTATGAATGTTTTATTTTGGTCACTAATGTAAATTATTTTTTATTTTATTTTTTATTTCTTTTAGAAATTAATATTTTCTTATTTTTCTTAATTTTTATTTATTTATCTTGTGACATTTTTTTCACATTATTATTATTATTATCCTAATTTTTTTTTATTTTTAATTTAATCTTCTAATTTTTTTGTTTTAGTCAATATTTTATTTTATCATCTAATATTTTGTTTGATTTTTTCAGTAGTAATTTCAATCGATAAAAGGTAAATAATTCGAATTGAATTTTTAAATTTTAATTTTCGCAATTAAGACAACCGACAAATTAAATGGTATCGAAAGAGTTGTTCAAGGGTACTAATCATTTTTGATTGTAACCGACTCTCAATCCCGTTTTAATCGAATCTTTGTAAACGCAGACCAATTTTTTGTCATAAAAATGATTTTTCATAAAATTATTTTTAAAAAGACATATTTTAGATATTTGACCTACCTGACTCAAAGTTCGATAGTGATTCTATTCAAATTAATCCAAAAACCACCGATTTTTTCAAATTAAAAATCATAACCGTTTTTTTAAAACAATATTTAATTGTTCAACTCTATACGAAACAAGGCACCATATGGAGCATTGCATCAAAGCACTCTGCAATGCGGATGTCACTGTAGGTTTCAAAATCGGGAGGGATGTTTCTCTTCCAGAAACATATGTCCAGTCCGCAAGAAATCCTCTTCGAGATCTCGGAGGAAAACCACCTTCTCAGAGGCATATTCTTGCCTTCTATGCCGGAAGCAATTATGGGTGGGTATCTGCGTCCGATCTTATTGAAACACTGGGAAGACAAAGACCCCAATATGAAGATTCTTGGTCCAATGCCTCCTGGTGTTGCAAGTAAAATGACTTATATCCAGTACATGAAGAGCAGCAAGTACTGTATCTGCCCCAAAGGCTACGAGGTCAACAGTCCACGAGTCGTTGAATCCATCTTTTACGAGTGGGTTCCCATTATCATCTCCGACAATTTCGTGCCCCCGTTTTTTGAAGTTCTGGATTGGGGAGCGTTCTTGTTAATACTCGCGGAGAAAGACATTCCGAACCTGAAAGACATACTTATGTCAATAGGGCAAGAGAGGTATCTCGCTTTGCAACTCGGTGTGCGGAAGGTTCAACGGCATTTCCTCTGGCATGCTAAGCCCGAGAGGTACGATCTCTTCCGCATGACACTTCATTCGATCTGGTATAACAGAGTCCACCAGATAAAACTCAGATAGTAGTAACATCAATGGCCATCGAAGCCGAGTAAAAATGTGAATATACTTTTGCATCATGTATGCTATGTTTTTTCTTGGATGTGTACATATGAACTAATGGTATTTCGATTTGAATCATTTCGGATTTGGCACTCGAGTTTGGATATGTTTTTGAATTACGTCTCTTTGTTTATTAAAATAAAGGGTAAAATACATGATGGGGTCATTTAATTATACTTAAATTATGATTTTAAGTATTCAACTTTGAAAAATTATGATTTTAAGTATTCAACGTTGAAAAATCGTATAAAATGATTTTAAGTATTCAACCATGCTTACCGAAGAGTTTGTTTCCATAACGTCACGTGTCTCTCTCTAACTATAAAGACTCAACCCCTATCCACTTCCCTAATGACAAATCTCCCCCACGTGGAGTTCCAATTCCCCTTGCATGCCGGTTTTTACAGTTATGTCGGCTACGGGTAATATGCTTTTTTTACCTATCAAAATCTAGAGATTTAATTATGATTTTAATCCGTCGACTAGACACAATTTAAGATAGTCTTTTTACTTCTACACAATTAGGAGTATAATTCATTAGTAAGACTAAATTGACAATACCGTCGTGTTGGACTATAAGTCGTGATGTTTGCAGAAATTAAGGGCTAGATTCTGTTGTGTTTCATGAATTGATATGATTCAAAATCTTTTAAACATATACTACATTGTATTTATCTTGGACTAACAAAAAAAATCTCATAACTGATGCCGGTATTAAATACAAATACCAAGATATATGAATAAAATAAAATTGGGTCAAAACTAAAGTCAAAATATAATTTTATCGCCGATATTGCTTAGGATTATATAACTTTTAAAGGAATTATACTGAAATTCTATTATTTCAGAGAGAATAAAATCAAATTTTACCATGACATAAATTTTATATCTTTTATATTTTGAAGGGATCAAAGTCTAAATTTTACCATTTGAGGAGTCAAGGACTAAGTTCGGTAAAAATGGGACACATTTTTTTCCCTACTGGTTTTTGTATGTATTAATATCAACATATTTTAATATACCATTTCGGATTTATTGATATATTTTCCTAGAGTTAGAACCTAAAAATAGAACGATGATGGATAGGAGTTTCGCTGAATCCCACTGAGACATGTGTTATTAGAGGTACAGTAAGATTGAATCTTAAACTTTAAAATAATAAAGGGACTAAATGAAAATTAGACCAAAATCTAAGAGTTTGTAATTTTTTGACGGGCAAGCATGTATATTTAGCAGTTGTAACAATACTTATTTTATATATTTATGCTTTCATTCAAAGTAATTACTTTGAAAAGATCAAAACTGGAATCAAATTTAGGTATTTATGAAGATAACGATATTATCCTCATTCGGCTGACCAAGTCATACATTCAATTAGGGATGTTCATTCGGTTAATTCAGTGGTCGAACCGATTAAACTATCATTAATCGAATTAATCGAATTTTTTTTTCTTTAACCGTTAATCGAACCGAACTTTTTTTTGAAAATATTAACCGAACCGAATAAATTTCGGTTAATTTTCAAATTAACCGAAATTTTTTAAAATTTTATAATTTTTATAAAAATTAAATATTTTATAATTAAAAAAATAGTTTATAATTAATTTAAATAATATATAATTATAAAATAAAAAATTTATATAAAATTTTTAATTAATTAATATTGATTTAGGTTTAAAAGTTATTGGTTCTTAAATTATTAATTGAATTTTAAATAGTTTGGGCTGAGTTCATATGTTATATATAATATATTTAATATTTTTTAATTAAAAAAATAGTTTACAATTAATTTAAATAATATATAATTATAAAATAAAAATTTTATATAAATTTTTTAATTAATTAATATTGATTTATGTTTAAAAGTTATTAGATCTTAAATTATTAATTGTGTTTTAAATTATTTGGGTTGAACTCATATGTTATATAAAATATATTTAATATTTAAAATTTTATTTTGGTTAATTAATCGATTTCGAACCGAATTAACCGTTAACCGAATATCCAAAAAATCTTTAACCGTTCCCCGACCGAATTAACCGAATTAGTTCAGTTCGATCGGTTAATTGGGTTAAAACCGAATTTTGAACACCCCTACATTCAATTCTTTTTAGGGTAAACTATAAAAATAGTCCCTGAACTTTTATAGCGCTTGTATTTTTTCAGTCAACTTTTAAAATTTATAATACAATCATCAAACTTTTAGATTATTTTCATTTTGATCCCTATCGTTACCTGCAGTTTTACTAACGCGGTATTTAATCCCGTTAACTTTCTTGACGTGGCAGCTTCTTCTTCCTTCTTTCTTACCTCTAGTTCTTCCTTCTTTCTTACCTCTGGTTCTTCACCCACAAGCCTAAATTAAAAAAATCTAGGGGAAAAAAGAGGAAAAAACCCAGCTTGTTGTTGTAAATGGAATCATCTGCCATATCTTTGTAAACCAAGAAAGAAAGCAAAGAGCCAAGCTCAGATTTCAGCTCTATCCCACTTCAAAGATGGCAACTTTCTTCATTTCCAGATACCTCATAGCCCTGATTTGTCTTGTTTTTCTTCTTCAAAATCTTGACTACAGATCAAAGTTTATCTTTTTCTTTCAAAAGTTTTAGAAAAGATCCAAAATTTGAGTCCAATATTGCTTTATATGGTGATTCACGTGTTGGTAGCGATGGCTCTTGGATTCAACTCACCGACTCAGTGAGTTGGAGTGCGGGGGCAGTGATGTACAAGAAACCCATCAAGCTTGTTGAAGGTAAAGTCATGAACTTTGCTTCTTTTTTAACTTACTTTTCCTTCTCATATCCCATATAACGATGATAGTTTGGCTTTTATTACGGATCCTAGTAGTTTTAAAGTTGATGTATTGGGTGTTGGTCAAATAAGGGGGCGTTGTTGGCTCCCAAAATCAACAAAGGGAGGAAAAGGGTGGGCACCGCCTGATGATTTTTCAACAAATGCAAATTGTCAAATTCGGTGCAACTTATGTTGATTTTTTAAATGGGTTAATTCACTTTAGCCATTGCACTTTAGGGTATTTTCAAAGATTAGTCCCTAAGCTTTAGCTATAAATAACCTAGCCCATTTAGCTTCAAAATCGTCTCAAAATCTTCCAGTTCTCTCTCAAGTGTGTTTTGTAAACACCTGTAATTTTTTCTCTTTAGTAAAAGATCTGCAGCAGTCCGGAGACGTAAGCACAATTGGCTGAACTCCGTTATCAATTTTTCGGGTATTATTTTTTCCGCGTTTATTTCGTATTCTCACTAATCTTGCTATAGGGAAATTACTTGTTACTCGTTTATTTCCCAACAACTGGTAATCAGAGCTTTTGGTTGTGAATTTTATCAATTTTTTGCGAGGTTACTATTCATTACTATTCATTATTGTTCACGTGAATAATAAATTTCGTGAATAGTAAAATTTTGTCGGCGATACGAATTTGTCGACGAATGTGTTCTAATACACAGTGGTTCACATCGGCCTCAAACAAAGTTCATTTGATGAGGCGATTATTCAATTTGCGGATGGCGGAAGGGGCATCAGTGGCTCAACACCTGAATGAACTCAACACAATCACAACCCAGTTGAGTTCCGTGGAAATTGAATTCGATGATGAAGTTCGAGCTTTAATTCTCTTATCATCTCTACCAGACAGTTGGAATGATATTGTTACAGTAGTTAGCAGCTCGTCGGGAAATAGTAAATTGAAATTTGACGATGTTCGAGATCTGGTACTGAGCGAAGAAATTCGACGGAGAGAATCGGGTGAAGCATCAACCTCCTCAGCCTTGCACACGGAGTCCAGAGGGAGAACTTCAGAAAGAAATTCAAATCGTGGCAGATCGAAATCCAGACGGGGAAAATCAAGAACGGGAAAGAAAGATTTTACCTGTTATAATTGTGGCAAGAAGGGTCACTTTAAAAGGGATTACCGAGCACTGAAGAAAGATACCGGCGCACAGGAATCTGCAAACATGACAGAGGAGACAGGTGATGCCATTATTCTAAGCGTCAACAGTCCCATTGAATCATGGATCTTGGATTCATAGGCATCTTTCCACTCCACCCCATGCCGAGAAATCATGGAGAACTATGTCAGTGGTGATTTTGGGAAGGTTCATCTAGCTGATGATGAAACCTTGAAGATCGTCGGAAAAGGAGACATCCGACTAAAGTTGCCAAACCAGACCACCTGGACGCTGAAATGAGTAAGACATATTCCTGGCCTCAAAAGGAATCTTATTTCTGTAGGACAGCTTGATGGAGAAGGATATAGCACAACCTTTTCAGGCTGTGAATGAAAGATTACCAAAGGAGCACTCGTCATTGCTCGTGGTAAGAAGACTGGTACTCTCTATGTAACCTCAAACTTAGAGAATATCATTGCTGCAGCAAATGCTGATGGAAAATCAAACCTATGGCACCAAAGGCTTGGCCATATGAGCGAGAAAGGGATGAAGACACTTTTGTCAAAAGGGAAGCTGCCGGATCTAAAGAATGTAGATGTCGGACTATGCGAGGATTGCATCTTTGGCAAACAAAAGAAAGTCAGCTTTGCAAAGATTGGTAAGACACCCAAGGCTGAAAAGTTAGAGTTGATTCATACTGATGTATGGGGACCATCTCCAGTTCCATCTCTTGCAGGCTCATTATATTATGTCACATTCATCAATGATTCTACAAGGAATGTGTGGGTTTATTTTCTGAAGAAGAAATCAGAAATCTTTGATACCTTCAGAAAATGGAAGGTCATGGTGGAAAATGAGACTAGTTTGAAAGTCAAGCGGTTGAGGTCTGACAATGGAGGAGAGTACAAAAGTAGAAGATTCAGAGATTTCTGCGCAAACAATGGGATCAATATGGAGATAACAGTTCCCATGACACCGCAGCATAATGGCGTAATAGAGCGCATGAACAGAACTTTGAATGAACGTGCCAGAAGCATGAGGATACATGCCGGATTGCCCAAATTTCTATGGGCTGAAGCTATCAACACTGCAGCTTACTTGATCAACCGTGGGCCCTCAGTTCCTTTGGATGGCAGAATACCAGAGGAAGTTTGGAGCAAGAAAGAAATAAACCTTTCACACTTAAGAGTGTTTGGTTGTATTTGTTATGTACACATAGACTCTGCTGAAAGAAGTAAACTTGATGCTAAGTCTAACAAATGTACCTTTGTTTGTTATGGCGGTGATGAGTTTGGTTACCGGTTTTGGGACTACAAAAATCGGAAGATCATCAGAAGCAGAGATGTCATTTTCAATGAGAATGTGATGTACAAAGACAGGTCAACCATAGAATCAAATAGCTCCAATACCGAAGCTGAAACAAAGGAATTTGCTGAGTTCGAGGAGATTTCTGGAAATGATGTTCAGATCAGTCCTGAAGCAGTTCAAGAAGAACCAGTCACACCAGAACTGAGACGCTCCTCCAAAATTCCTAAACCAACCCAACGATATTCTCCTTCTTTGCACTACTTGTTGCTGACTGACAATGGTGAACCAGAGTGCTATGATGAAGCAATGCAAGTGGAGGATTCAGTCAAGTAGGAGTCTTCCATGAAAGATGAGATGGACTCGCTTATGTCAAATCAGAAGTGGGAATTAGCTGAATTACCACCAGGCAAGAAAGTGCTCCACAACAAGTGGATTTACAGGATCAAAGAAGAGCACGATGGGAGCAAACGCTACAAAGCAAGATTGGTTGTCAAAGATTTTCAGCAAAAAGGAAGGTATTGACTACAATGAAATTTTCTCTCTAGTTGTAAAACTGTCTACAATCAGACTGGTGTTGAAAATTGTAGCTACAGAAAATTTACATCTTGAGCAGTTAGATGTAAAGACAGCTTTCCTTCATGGTGATTTGGAGGAAGAAATCTATATGAGGCAGCCAGAAGGCTTCATAGAGGCAGGAAACAAAAACCTGGTATGCAAGTTGAAGAAGAGCTTGTATGGTTTAAAACAAGCTCCTAGACAGTGGTACAAGAAGTTCGATAGCTTCATGGGTAGCAATGGTTTTACCAGATGCCAAGCATATCATTGTTGCTACATCAAGAGGTTCGACAATAGCTTCATTATTTTATTGTTGTACGTTGATGACATGCTCGTTGCAGGCTCAGACATGCAAGAGATTATAAACTTGAAGCAAAAATTGTCAAAGCAGTTTGCTATTAAGGATCTAGGCGCTGCAAAGCAGATTCTTAGGATGAGGATCAAGAGAGACACAAAGTCGGGGACTTTGATATTATCACAGGCTGAGTACAGCAACAAAGTACTCTCCAGGTTCAACATGCAAGATGCTAAACCAGTAAGTACACCTTTAGGTGTTCATTTCAGACTCTCCAAAGAACAGTCACCAAATACGGAGGAAGAACGTGCACACATGGTGAAGGTGTCGTATGCCTCAGCAATTGGAAGTCTGATTTATGCCATGGTTTGTACCAGACCAGATATTGCTCAAGCAGTGGGAGCTGTTAGCAGATACATGAATAATCCGAGCAAGGTACATTGGGAAGCAGTCAAATGGATCCTCAGATATCTGCGAGGTACTACAAACAAAGCACTTTGTTTCAAAAGTGGAGATACTATACTGTCAGGCTATGTAGATGCTGACTTAGCCGGAAATATTGACATCAGAAAGAGAACTACAGGGTATGTCTATACTCTAGGAGGTACTGCAGTGAGTTGGGTTTCTCAACTACAGAAGATAGTTGCTCTCTCCTCAACTGAAGCAGAATATGTCGCTGTTACGGAAGCCAACAAGGAGATGGTTTGGCTCCAAAGTTTCTTGGAAGAGTTAGGCAAGAAACAAGAAAATAATGTCTTGTATTGCGATAGTTAAAGTGCTATTCATCTAGCGAAGAATCCGTCTTTTCATTCCAGGACGAAGCACATACAATTGCGATATCATTTTATCCGGTTCTTCTGGAAGATGGGATTTTGAAACTTGAAAAGATCAGTGGAGCTCAAAATCCAGCAGACATGTTAACAAAGACGGTGACTACGGACAAACTGAAGTTGTGTTCAACTTCAGTTGGCATGCTAGAATAACAAGACTAGAAATGCTGCTGCATTGATCAAGGTGTGAAGACAGATTAAAATCAGTCTTCAAGTGGGAGATTGTTGGTCAAATAAGGGGGCGTTGTTGGCTCCCAAAATCAACAAAGGGAGGAAAAGGGTAGGCACCGCCTGATGATTTTTCAACAAATGCAAATTGTCAAATTCGGTGCAGCTTATGTTGATTTTTTAAATGGGTTAATTCACTTTAGCCATTGCACTTTAGGGTATTTTCAAAGATTAGTCCCTAAGCTTTAGCTATAAATACCCTAGCCCATTTAGCTTCAAAATCATTCCAAAATCTTCCAGTTCTCTCTCAAGTGTGTTTTGTAAACACCTGTAATTTTTTCTCTTTAGTAAAAGATCTGCAGAAGTCCGGAGACGTAAGCACAATTGACTGAACTCCGTTATCAATTTTTCGGGTATTATTTTTTCTGCGTTTATTTCGTATTCTCACTAATCTGGCTATAGGGAAATTACTTGTTACTCGTTTATTTTCCAATATTGGGGAATAGTTCGTTTGGGGTTTCTCTTGGATTAGGTTAAGTCAATCTAGTAGTTCCAGGCCTAATGATCCCTTGCTTTCGTATTCGATCAATTTGTCGAAACTATGGAATGATGAAGTGTTTGTGGGTTTAAGCTCTTCAAATGGCAACTCTTCGTAGTCATGTTTTATTCATTCATGGAGTTTTAAGCTTAGGCAGGTTCACAATTGGATGTATTCCCAGCCACTCGATCTCAATGCCACCATTGCGAAGAACCCTGAACCTTTGACAACCGTGCCCAAGAGTAGAAGATATTTTTGGAAAATGCTCGTTGTGTTCGTCTTCGGTGGCGCCTGCGGAGCCTTTGACGACTTGTTGTGTGATGTACCTATGGAACGTCTTTGGTGATAGGCGCTCCGTGGTGCCTGAAGAGTGCGGTGTCGATCTTGCGGATTTTGATTACAAGAAGGTCAAATTAGTAATAGTCGATGATGCTGTCAAAGATGGCAAGAAGTAGATCTTTGGAGTAGGGGTTTATGATCGAAAGTTTTTATGTTTTAAAGTGATGATATCTTGTAATTGCAGTTGCAGGTTTCGGTTGTGAAAATTAAATACGTTTACTCGTTTCTACAAAGTCTTTATGACTTTACCTTCAACCTCCTTCAACGATCAAACCCAACCTTGACGTCTTTGCAGGTTGGTAATTGCTCTCTCCCATCCCTCCTGCATGTTGGGTCGGTTTTGGAATCGAGTTTTAAAGCTGAAGATGATTGCTTTGAAGAAGTAGAAAGAAGGAATGAGAAAAAAAGTAGAAGAGGAGGAGGAAGGAAAAACTACCTCGTCAGAAAAATTAAGGGGGTTAAGTTCCACGTCAGCATAAACTAACGGGAAGATAATGGTAGGGATCAAAATGAAAATGAATTAAAAGTTTGATGACTATATTGCATGTTTCAAAAGTTGAGTGACTAACATGCAATTGTCTTAAAAGTTTAGGGACTATTTTAATAGTTTATTCTTTTTAAAAAGAAAAATGAAAAAAAAGAAATTCTCAGTGAACTTTTGCAGTTCTCTTTGCTTGAACTTGTAGCTTTCTTGGCAACTGGGTATGTGCATTTTCCATCGTATTTTCTTTCCTTTTATAAATCTGGGCTTTCAAAGCTATCGTATTTTAAAACAAATTATGGATTTTTGCCGATCAAAGCTACTCTTTGAGGCTTTTGCGTTTTGAACTTTGAAGTAATCTAGTCGGTTTGTTTTTGGAGATTTCATGTTGTTTTCTCTGTTTTATTTTCCTATCCCTTCTGTTTGGTTACTGAGAAAATGCAAAGTTTTGTATTTGAACGTGTGATTGATTGTCTTAAATTTCAATTATTTTCTATGGACCAGGCAGTGCGGGAAGGTTTTAATGGAAGATTTGAGCATCAATAGAGGATTTGCTGAACCTGAAAACCAGTTATCTGTAAGTACTGATTGAGACCATTCCAGACAATTTCCTAAAAAAAACATAACTGGACTTAATTAAGTTATAATGTTCTGTTCCATTGCATCATTTAAGCCTCTGTCAATTCTGATCCGAATTCGAAAATGATTCGAACAAGTAAGCCGAAGTAGCCCGAACTAATGCAAATCTTGTTATCAGGTCCATCATGATGTTATGAATAATACATCACATATTCTGGACTTCCTCTTATTTTCCTCGCCTATGGATGACATTTTCACTTGTCTTTTAACATGGACAACTAATATAAGTCGCAGATTCATCAATTTCGTCTGTTAGTTCTTCGGTTTTTATTATGCACGCATGTGTGTTGTACATATATATTTAGACATTTAGATGTTTCTGATGAGAATCTTGTTCTCCAAGATGTCTACAGATGCAGAGAAGGTTCCATTGCCGTATCTTCGATGTATTGCATGGAAAATTTGAACTCCGGCCTCTGTCAAAGAAGTTCCTCGGAGCTTGAGGGAGAATTTCTTGCAAATACAGATTCTAGAATTATAAAAACCAATAACTGTCGGCAACTAAGACGAGATGTCCATTTCGTCTTTCAAGGGTATCCGTTTTCTTTCCTTTTACTTGCATGATATGGGAGTGAATATATGAACAAAATGGTTGATTCTTTGATGACTCGTTCAAACTTTGCGTTGGAATATGCCATTTCCGATTAGTTCAATAGCAATTTAGATATGATATGCAGAAGTTACCCTGACTATATGCTTAAATATCTAATAATACAGCTGAAATGATATTGTTCGTAGTAATGCATCTGTATTCCGTTTTTTTTTCATTTATGCTACATGTGGTTGCTTCTAACGGGTTGTAGGTTGATGTGCCGTTGTTTGCCTTACGGCTTACTTGGCGTCTGGTAATTGCCCCTTGGAGATGTACTCTCTACCATTTGAAACGCATGCAAGCACAAGTCTTTAGGTAAAACAAGTTGATTTCCTTAACTTCGTAAAAATGCTGGATAAGATTCCGAAATAAGAATCCGGTTCATGGTGTATGTTGATTTTTTTTATTCAAATCTTTCTATGTTCTTTTGTTTTTCCTTTTTCAAATCCGATTCCAGCTGCGAAGTCTTGGATCTTTAATAACATTGGTAGATTTGCTTCTTTATAATGAATGTAACCATTTTTTTTATTTTCAGCATTGTATCCCAGTGGAGAGAACATTACGCGGTTCTTCTGATGATATTGGGTGGTTGCAACGCACTCCTGAAATGGCTTCCGTCAAGGATGGTACGACAAGATTCCTGGAACTGCTAGAAGCCATATGGTACCAAATTAGTTTAATTTTGTCTTGGTCTTCCTGAATAATAAGAGATTGTTCCGTGCTACCTGAGTCGATATTTTCACGTCCAGGAATGGAGAACACACAGTTCCCAATTCATTTGTATATTTATTAGTTCCAGGTACGAGAATACCGCAGTATCTCTCTTATTTCCTCGTTTATCAATCCGGCATTCGCTATACCTTTCCCTTCAATATAATGTAGATTTCTAATACTTTGTCAGCCCTTTTTAGCAATCATGGCCCCTTATATTTTGTGGCTACTAAGGGATTCTTTTCGAGACTGGGTCTTGCATGCCATATAGCGAAAGTCCACAGCGAGATAATCTAGGGTTACTCGTAAATTATCTAGATTTCGGAATAAGAAAACTATTATTCAGGAATGCATTTCTTCTGCATCTTCGAATACCATGATTTGACTCGAGCTTTTGTTGTTCTACAAAGGCATCGGTGGAGCATAACGCGTGGGAGTTGAAGCAATACATCGAGGAGCTTTACTGGGGGTCTGGTAAATGAGTAATGCTGCTCGGGCACAGCAACGGTGGAGTTGATTCTGCCGCGGCGTTGTCCATTTATTGGTCCGAGTTAGAGAACAAAGTTGCTGGATTGGCACTGGTCCAGAGTCCGTACGGTGGCAGTCCCATAGCCTCCGATACTCTCCGTGAAGGCCAGATAGCTGACAAAGAAACTCGAAGGATCATGGAACTTTTAATATGCAAGACGATTAAGGTAATCCTTTCCTTCGCTTATGAATCAACGCCCGAGTGTAGCAAGAAATATAAGCAGTCTTATATGTTGCAGGGTGACATGCGAGCTCTGGAAGATCTTACATACGAATAGAGAAAAGAATTTGTTATGAAGAACAAGTTACCCGAGGGAATCCCTCTTATCTCGTTCAGCTCGGAAGTGATAGAAAACTCAATTACTATGAAAAACAGATCATTGTTGTTAATCGTGTGTACAAGACTCTGCATGTCTTTATATACAATCAATGTATAACTGCTATACCAGCTATACCAGAAAGGCAGTTACATTTCAACTAACTAACTAACTAAGCAAGACTATATATGCTACATGCTCGAGCATGCTTATGATGTAGTCCATCCAATATGCTCCCTGCTCCTTCCATCTTCAACTTCTTTTAACGAAACAACTCCCAACCTTTGTCTGAACACATTGAAGTAATCTTTTGACAATGCCTTAGTGAAAGCATCTGCTACCTGATGTGAAGATGGTACATAGTTCACCTTCAATTTGTTTGCTGCCACCTTCTCTCTCACGAAATGCACATCCAACTCCACATGCTTAGTTTTAGCATGGTAAATTGGATTAGCACTCATAGATATGACACCATATAACAAGTGTGCCTTGTAGCTCAATCCCCATACTATCAAGCAATGCAGCTACCCACGTTGCATCAGAAGACACATCAGCCAAACTCCTATACTCTGCTTCAGTTGTGGACCTAGACACAGTCTTTTGTTTCTTGGAACTCCATACGATTAGATTGCCAGCAAGATACAAACAATTACTTGAGATTGATCTCCTGTCATCCATGCTTCCTGCCCAATCAGCATCTGCAAATGCAGTAAGCTGTAATGGTGAGTCATTTCGAGACAAAACAAGTCCATGATCCAAGGTGCCATTCAAGTATCTAAGTACTCTTTTCACAGCAGACAAGTGTTGCTCACACGATGCATGCATGAACTGAGCTAATTTATTAACACTATATGCTATGTCTGGCCTTGTGTGGCACGCATACAATAACGAGCCTACAAGACTTCTGTACTCCTTTGGATCAACAAGAGGACTGCCAGCTTCTTTGGTCAGCTTGAGGGATGAGACCATTGGTGTGGGCATCGAAGTGGACATATTGTAGGATGCATGAATATTATACCTGTAGATTAAAATATATTAGTACTTTACTGGGTTAGTGCTTAATATGTCAAATTAAAATTTGAGTTATCAGGGCTGTGTTTAATACGCAAAGTTAACTTTAATTTTTTAACAGACGAATGTTGATTCACGCGGGGATAATATTTACGGCGTCGGCCCAAAGCAATTTACAAGTGTTAATCGGCTGGGTTTATGTTTTTATTGGGATAGAGCCTATTTAAATTTTAGAAGTCTAAATTTTATCGGATTTTCAAATAATCCAAAATTAGAATATAAGTGATTCGTATCCAATTTGATTATTTAATATTTTCGGATATTCGATTTGAATTGTCCGAAAGTTGAGATCAGATTTTTTTTTATTGATTTTTAATGAACTGCATATTTTGGTATTGATTTTTAATGAACTGCATATTTTCATAAATTTGAAGCAGTTTTAGCTACTTGATAGTAGCTTCATTTTAAGAAATTAAAACATGGGGATTTTTTAGAATCAAATTTCAAATTTAATTTCTTAAAATATTTATGATATTTTAATTTAACATTTAATATTTCTTTTATTAAAATTTTAAGTACAAACATCTAATATATTATTTAATATTTATGTTATAATATTATTTATTATTATACATTAAATTTATGTATCAAGTAAAAAGTATGTGATATAAATGAATTCTTATATATTATAAATTTTAAAATTAAATCTAAACGAATTGAGTGACCAAAACGAAACAAAAAATTTAAGTTTATTGATGATTTTGAAAACAAAAATAGTTGACTTACCTAAATAGAACCGAATGAATAGTTGAATGCCTAAATATATAATTTACCCACGTGTTTTTAACGGAGTTAACATATTGGTGCAAATGAGATAACAATTTAAACTTCAAGGGACAAAACGTTCGAAAAATATTGGGGTAACTCGGTACAAACAATATAGTTTAGGGGGTAATAGTGCATTTAATCCTTATATATAAATTATAAATTTAGTCTAATTAATTTAATTTGAGAATCAGTAAATAAAAAAATGATGACAGACACATAAATTTACGTGAAATTTGACAAAACAAATCATAGACAGAGGCAAAGAAATTTACTATGATGGATGATAGATTATAAAGATGTGAAACACATACAAAACACACTCCAAACGTGCTACTCTAATTGTACTAAACATGCACAAATTCTAAAAACCTTAGATGTATATATACAAGTGTACATACATTAAACCCTATACGAGAAATATGTATCGCACAAATCTTATAAACTATTGAGCTAAACTAATCATATGGGTAAATTTCCACATCTCCAAACGTGCTACTCTAATTGTAATAAAAATGCACAAATTATAAAGATCTTAGGTGTATACAAACAAGTCTACATACATTAAACACTAGACGAGATACATAAGGTGTATACATACAAGTGTACATACATTAAACACTAGACGAGAAATATGTATCGCACAAAACTTATAAACTATTGAGCTAAATTAGTCATTTTGGTAAATTTCACATCATTTTTCTATTTCTCCGTCACTATTTTTAATTAATTTTATTCAAACAATTAAATGACGAAACGTGTCACCAATTATGAGGATAAAGTAAAAGAAAGTTTTCTTGCTCTTAGCAAGAATTAAACTTAGGTCTCTTACATGAAATATAAGGCACTTAACCATTGAATTAATCTTTTATCATATTTTGTATTTAACTTATATAATAATAATATCACCACAAAATCAATATTTTTCAATGATTACAAAATTTGAATATGTGACACTTAAAATTAATGATCAAAAGTTTAGTTATTCAACTATAATGCAAATCAATTTTTTATTATATCAAACTTAATACTTACTTGTATCATTATTAAATTAAAGAACAAATTTTCACTTTATTGAAAATAAAAAATAATTAAATAATTACTTTTATTTATTTATAAAATTTATATTAAATTATTCTAAAAAGTTTATTTATCATTAGGGGTGTTCAAAAAAACTTGTAACCATTAACCATAACCGTTAACCGGTATAACCGTTACATTTAACAGGTTAATTATCTAAATCGCTAATAGTAAACGATTTCGGTTAATTGAACTGCTAAAAATGGTGGTTAACAGTTAACATTACGGTTATGAATTTTGATAAACGGTTAACCAATGGTTAACCATTAATAAATTAAATTTTGTAATGTTATTAAAAACTGAGTTAGGGTTTACGAAGAAGAACGCGGAGTTGGGAATTAGGGATTTTGGTGTGAATGAATTCAATTGAAGTTACAAACCAATGTAGACAGGGCAGCTGTATGGTGTCGTTTGGCTTTGGAACTTAAGTCGATTTTGGGTCATTATTAATTGTTGGGTAATGCGTTTAGGCATATATGTCCTAGCCCAATTGTAGTAACATGTGTAAACAATTTAGTAGTTAAAATCGTTATTATATAACAGTAAAATTTATATAACATTTGTGTAATACCCCAAATACCAGGTCAGGGACTTTATTAAAAAGATTTGAAAATTTAAGATTTATTTGAATAAGTGGTAAAAGATGAAAAAATTAATTTGGAATAGTGTTTAGACTAAATTGCAACAATATATAAATTAAGAGGACAGTTTGGTCTTTTAAGAAGGAAAATGAATTTAAAATATATCTCTTATTAGAGATTTTAAATAGAGGAAAGTTAAGATATCTCTACTCTTCTTCTTCTTCTTCTTCAAGTGAGTAGTGCTCTCCTCCATAATATAAGGTAAACTTTGATTAGTTAGTTCTTCCTTTAAATTTTGGGTGGCTTTAGTAACATTAAATGATATGTAAGCTTAAGGAAGGATTAAAGAAGATAAAAACTAAGTGGTGGATGTTTTATGTGAGATTTAAGGAAATGGGTTTTTGAATGATATATTGATATATGAGTTTTTATTGAGGTTTATTAGTAGAATTGACTTGTCAAAGGAGTGAATAAGATATTAGAAGCATTGGATATGATTAACAACATGTTAGAAAAAGTTATATGATTCTTGGGTTGAGATGTTCTATGGAGATTTTAGATGTTATAAGAGGCTAAATGAAGCAAAGTTAGTTGGGTTAAGTAAAGAGGAGTTTAATAGTATTGTTGAAGGTAAAAGTGAAAGATTAAAGGGAAAAATTAAGTGAAAATCGAGCTGAAAAATGGTAAATATGGGCAATGGTATCGGTACTGATAGAACAGTACTGATACTATAGGTGTAAATGGGTAGAAATGTGATGAACATTATCGATACTGATGTAAGTGGTATCGATACTGATGGGGTATCGATACTAACAAGGGGAAGTATCGATACCATGGATAACAGAATGCCAAAATGGTATCGATACTGAAAGGGAGTATCAGTACCATAGTGTAATAGTATCGATACTGAGAGAAAGGTATCGGTACCATAATATAGAAGTATCGATACCATGGTAGGGATATCGATACTATTAATCCTGGAACTATAAGATAGATTGGAATTGTTATAAAAATTGAAATAATGATACTTTTGAGTATTATTAAAGTATAAATGTTGGGGAATATACTAACATTTGGTATGCTATATGTCTTCAATGGATACTTGTGTAGATCATAACTAAGCTTCTGAATCTAGCAAGAAAAAGGGGAAAGATAAAGTTGTTGATTAGCCAGACATCTCTACATCTTATTACCGGGGATTACCATGTGAGTACATTTATTGTAATTATCTGAGATGAAGAAGATTTATAATAATTCAAATTAGAATGTTTCAAATTAATGTATGTGTTGAAAACATTTTGATGTTTCGATATAACAAATAAAGTATTAATGAATTTTAAGATTTTATATTCAATTTCAAAAATAATATTCGATCCAATTAATCGAATATCACATATATTACTCCAAGTTTTTCAAATTCAATTTTACTCCTTACTTAAGTGAAAAATTGTGTTTCAATCATAAAACATTTTTGAAATAATTTTTACAAATTATTTCAAACCAAAATCGAGCCAAATATGAGTTTTAAATA